GATGGTCGGGCATGGAGACCATGGCTGCGGGTCCCGGGGGGGCTGCTCAGGGCCAGTGAGGCCCAGGGGTGCCCTCAGGACCCCGTCCCCTTGCCTGCTCCTTGAAATTCAGGGCTAAACAGGTTGAACATCGCCAGTCCTATGAGAAACTCGGCTGCGTGCAGTGGGCTGCGTGTCCCCTCCCCACCTCCGGTTAACTCCTGTCACTTGTGAAATTCTCTCTCGCAGCCAGTTAGAAGATCGAGGGTGACTGCCCAGTGAGAGAACTGGAGGGGGAACTTCAGGAACCTCTGTCTTCTCCGGGGCAGCATTTGCCAACCCTCATTCGCAGCCTGCGTCAGAGCAGTGTAGGCCCCAGTGGGAGCCAGGAGCAGCCACAGCTGGTGGTGGACCTGCTGTGCTCATACCGGCTTATGGTGGTGCCAGGTAAGAGAAAGCCCTCAGTGTCCGCAGGCTCTGAGCTGGGGTCTCACAACAGGAGCTTTACTAGATCGTGTTGGTACCAGCTGTGACCTTCGTGCTGTTCTCCCTTGGGTTCAGTGGGCCTTCAGTGAGCCTTAAAGAGGTTTCTGCTGGGAGATGGTAGAAAGGGAGGGACCGTCCTCCACAGTCTCTTGCTTACTCATTTGCCATGTTTGTACTTGTACCCAACTCGATTACTTCCTTGCTGTCTTCCAGTGTCTCGCTCTGTGCCCGAGCAAGGTGATGGACAGCAGAGCAGAGATGGAGGTTGTGAGAAGCGCGAAGGCGAATGCCACTGGGGAGGTCGGCGTCCACGTGGTCACCACCGAGAGCACTGTGCAGAGCACCCACCTGCCAACGACTGCCTTCATCATACCAGGTATGCGGGACTGTCCTCTCTAACTGGTACCTCTGCAGCCTTCTCCCCCTGCATTGATACCTCATACTCCTTGTCTATCTGTGCTCCTCCCAAACCCTGGGAGGCAAAGCTGTGCTGCAGTTGCTGTCTTAGAGGTTCTCTGTGGCTATCCCACATTACTTGGATGATTTGTGGCTCATCATTTTTTCTTAAAAAAAAGCCCTGATGTCTGGGGCCCTGTGCCAGCGCAGGACAGTGTGCTGGGTGCTGGCTCTGCAGGGCGTGTGGGCTCCTGGGTTGCCGTGTTGTCGTAGAATCACAGAGTATCTCGGGTTGGAAGGGACCCACAAGGACCACCGAGTCAAAATCCCTGCTCCTCGCAGGACTGCCTGAAACTAAACCCTATCACTGAGAACGTCGTCCAGATGCTCCTTCAGCTCTGACCGGCTGGGTGCCGTCACCGCTTCCCTGGGGAGCCTGTTCCAGGGACCGGCCAACCTCTCCGTGAACAAACTTTTTCCCCGGGTCTGAACTGCCCCTGACGCAGCTTCGTTCCCTCTCCTCGTGTCCTGTCGCTGGTCACCAGAGAGCGGAGATCAGCACCTCCCCCCAGTGCCCCCCTTGAGGAAGGTGCAGACGGCGATGGGGTCCCTTGAGGGAGTCCACAGCTCCTCCTAATTTAGTATCGTCGGCAAACTCACGTAGTAGGCATTCGACTCCTGCATCCAGATCATTTGTAAAAACATTACAGAGCACTGGCCCTAAAATTGAGCCCTGGGGAACCCCACTGGTGACTGGCTGCCAGCCCGATGTGACAGTTTACTGTGAGTCTTTGAGCCTGACCCATCACCCAGTTGTTCACCCATCGTACTGTGGACTTGGCTAACTGTGCGCTGGGCGTTTTGTCCGGAAGGATATTGTGAGAGACAGGATGAAAAGCTTGCTAAAATCCAAGAAACCCACGTCTACTGGCTTCCCTTGGTCAACTCCATGGGTGACCTTTTCGTAAAAGGAAATGAAGTTAGTTAAGCAGGGCTTTCCCCTCGTGAACCTATGTTGGCTGTGGCCAATGACCGCCTTGTCTCTTAAGTGTTTGTCAGTAACTCCCAGAATAACCTGCTCCGTAACCTTACCAGGCACTGAGGTGGGACCGCAGGCCTCTAATTGCCAGGCTCATCCTTCTCATCCTGCTTGAAAACTGGGACAACAACTTTCAGCCCAGCTGACCAGTGTCTTTCAGGAGGTGTGTGAGCAAAGCATGGATGTGTGTTAGGTGAGATCAGGCTTGTCCTTTAGAAGCAAATCTCCCAATTTTTCCTGCTCCTGGTGCTTCAGTTCCCACTGCAGAAAGGCCCTGGGCTGCACAGTGTGTTCCTCTGAAATGAAGCTAAACTGAAAGATGGAGTCCAGGAGCTCGCCAGCACATTGTGTCGCATCCGGGAGTCCTGGTCATGGGAGCAGTCTGAGGGGAGGCTGAAGTAGGAGCCACAGGATGTGGAAAGCGTTGGTGCCACCCCGCAGCACGAGCCACTGCTGGCCGTAGATCTTGTTGGGCCACGCTGCCTGCTTGTAGGTGCTTTAGCCCACAGCACCAAGCCCTCGGCTGGGAGACTGCGTCCTCTCTGTCATTTTCTGCTGCCTTGGAGCTTTGTTTACAAAAGTTAAGTGTTCTGTGTATGCCTCTTGTTGTTTGTTTCCTTTCTTCCCTTCTCAAGCAAATGCCACTACCATCAACCTTCCCACGAGCACCTTAGAAATTCAGCGATTCCCCCGGGAACCACAGAGAAGCACAGGGGCTGAGAGGCCAGAGAGGGGAGCGGGGAGCGAGCCCATCACAGCTACTGTCATTCCCCAGATCAGCGGGGTGCAGACCTGCAGCACAGTCCGTGTGCTGGAGTGGAAAGATGGGGTGGCTTTCTTGCCTGGGAGTAACCTGCGGGTAAGTGTAGCCCTGGGCCACCGTCTTTGCCCCTCCGCCCCTTCCCACAGCTGCTTGCCCTTGTAGGTGGCCGTGCCCTAGCCTGTGCCAGGCAGGGACCACCACGATGTGATGTGGCCCCTGGCAGCACCCACAGCCCAGCTGGAGGACCCCTCAGCTGTTCCAGCTCTGCGAGGCTCCTCTCGTGCCCCATCCCTGTGCCCCTGACAGCTTGTGAGCTTGGCAGAGAGAGCACACGCGTGGAGCTTGGGGGGCTGCAGCGGGTCTGCCCTGCGCTGGCGGGCAGAGGGACGCTACCTGCTGTGCGGGGCACCTTTCCAAGCTGTGTTGTGGAGCTGGCTCTCACCAAACCCCTGCACTCACCCTGGGAACAGTGGCCTTGCGCTCATCAGACAGCGGGTGCCTTTAGGAGTACCCCTCGGTACACGAAGTAGCTTGGACAAAATGCATGAATTTCTCGGCTGCTACTCAGCCTCAGGGCACCGCGTCCTGCAGCCGTCACCCGGCCCCTCGTGCTGCCGGCTGGTGCCGGTCTCACCCGAGCGCAGGTTGGATGCACTCTTGTTGGATGCACTCATGACCAAACCACGACCCTCTCATTCTCAGAGCTCATGCACACCCACTAGCTGTCAGGTTTAAATTTCTGTCCTCTTTGTTAACTGTTTTTCCTTGGTTTTTGGTTTGATGGTGCAGTTTCGAATAAACGAGTACGGGACGCTGAAGGTGGTGAGTGCTGATAAGATGCCTCCGGTGGAAGCTGTAAAGGAGGGTCACACAGAGAAAGATGGGGACTCGGAGGTGGCACCCACCAGCAGGGACAATCCTACCGTGGCTCAGGGTAAGGGCACCATGGTGGCACTTCTGGGGTGGGTACCATCGTCCAGCGTAGGCCTTGAGTGAGGCAAACGTCTCCTGCTTCGTGCTCTCCTTCCTTGGCTGCACCTGGTGCCTCACTGCTCTGCTTTTCTCTGACTCAGATGTGCCGGAGCAGACCAAGCTGCCAACAGCAGAAAGCATGTGCCACTGTGACACCTGTGGCCGGAGACACGTGTCAGACGGAGCCCGGGAAGGCAGGGGCTTCTGCAGCGAGCACTGTCACCAGCAGTTCAAAGAAAGGTGAAGGCAGGGGAATGTGCTCCATGCAGAGCCATACCTGTCCGTCTGTCTGCTGTCCCTCCCCTGGTCCACATGCTCCAGCAAGGGATGCCAGCGCGTCTGTCTCCGGCAGGTGCTGGGGACCCCGCTTGTTTTGCTCTTCCCTGCACGCAGAGTGCCCTGGCTGCAGTGGGGGGGATGACTTGTCCCAGCCGACAGCAGGAAGCACAGGAGCTGGATTTTCTCCTGCCCGCTTTGTGGCCTGATGAACGTGTATCTGCTGGAGCAGGGCTGCAGCAGGAGCCTGCTGCAGTGGGTGCTCCCAGGCTGAGCAGCAGTGGGAGGCGTGGGTCACCAGGGCATTTCCAGCCCCTCTGCTTACTAATGTGTGACTCCTAGAACTCGTTTTCCAGCATCTCTGTGTGACTCTGGTGCAGCTTAGAGCCCTGCTACGAAACTAGATCGCTGTCGATCCATCCCTGGGTTCAGGTTTCTGACACCTAAGCGTGCGAGGCTGATTCTGGTCTGTACCCTGGTTCTAACCTCTTGCCAACTTGTGCGCTAAGAGGAGCGCATGCATTAGTCAGGAGGCATGGGAGCGTGTGTGAGTAAGACATGGGGTGACAGTGAGTCTCCAGCAGCCGCTCCCTGCCCCCCACCCCAGCCATTGCCACGTGCCGCAGTGCTTTACTCTCCCTTCCTCCCTGCAGGTCCGTCATTGTGGAAAACTCTGCCAGCAGCACCAATGCCACTGAAATCCTCAAGCCGGTGAAGAAACGAAAGAGGAAGGACTACCAGAGCCCGTCGGAGGAAGACTATGAATCTGAGCAGATGGTAGGAGGAGGGCAAGGAGGGCATGTGTGCGCTCAGGCATGCTTTTCAGTGCTGTGTCAGCTCTGTGTCAAAGGGGTAACCTCTTGGCTGTTAATGCCAAAAAGACTCGAACGTGTGGAGCATCAGGGCTCCCTGGCACTTGGCTGGCTATTTCGCATGCCGAACGCCTCGAGTCGGGCAGTGCTGGCCACGTGCTGGTGGGGCTGTAGGTACGGAGCGCTCTCCGCTGCTCTCTTGAGTCTGGGCCACCAAAGTAAGCGTTGAAGTAAGAGAGCGTGTGTCTGCAGGATGTGTATCCTGCGGAAGGGAGAGTGGCTGTGACAGGCGAGGAAGCCCTGCTTGCCAGCCCTGACTGTAGCAGATCCACTCCAGGTGCGATTGCTACCACTCAGCACCAAAATCCCCCTTGGGCTCCCATCAGCAGGTCCTCTTGGCCACCCATTTCTGGGCCAAGCATCAGCTAAATCACGGACGTTGCGGAGGCACGGTATGGCCCTTGGCACCGGTGTGAGAGTACAACACCGCGTAAACCTCCGTGCAGACCTCCAACGTGGCGGGTTTCTGTTTTGTCTGCTCTCGTGTCTAGGAGGAAAAGCAGGAAGAAAGAAAAGCAGAAGACTCCGTCCTCAGCAATCCGGAGGCTGACGCGTGGAACGGGAGCCAGCACGGTATGGAGGGGCCGGGCGGGCGGGGGGGGGAGCGCTCCCACCGTGGCTGCGGGGTTCCGCTGCGGTAGCGTTTTGGTGCTCCAGCAGAGTCAAACACCCAGTGCAACGCGCTGGTGCGTGTTCCTGAAGGCTTGTAAGCTCCTCTGCTTGCTTCATCCTGCTCTCTCTGTCTCTTTCCATTTCTCTCCTTTCCTCTCTTTCTCTCCATGGGATGGGTGCACCCTTACAGATACGGCCGTGTCTTCTTCTGGCGTTGGGCCGTACTGTACAGTGCTTTCTGGGCCCTCCCCTTGGGAGCTGAATTTATTACTTGCTCGTGGATACCGTGTTTGCTCCCAGAGGCACTGTCCTGAGCAACAGCGTGACTCTGCAGCACGCCTGGCTCTGCCCCTCCTTTGGATGGTCTTACAGGAAACTTCCCTCGTGTGATCAGGAGCTCACAAGTTTGGGAGCTCTCCTGTAGGTCTGGTGCCGCTGAAGCCGGGTGATTTGGGGTTGTCTCATCTCGTGAGGGTCTATTCCTGGACCGTATCAGAGGAGATCTCAAACACAGAGCTGTCGACACAGAGGGGCAGGAGACAAGCTGAGGGATGCAGTGTTTGCTTGTTTCGTTTTCTCCCTGCAGTGTAATGGGGGTGAGGGGGAAGGAAAACTTGGGAAAATACTGAAAATAAATGTTTATGGGAAGCCTTTTGTCTTTGAATAGTGAAAGGTTACGCTCAAAGTAATTTTAAAATGAAACCCTTCCAGCTTCATACTCCTCTCCATAGCCAAATGTAGGGACAGTAGCAGGGGCCAGATGTCGTTAACCCCTGATGTTACCCTGAGTTAACCACTATCAAAAAGGGATCTCGTACTCGCTTGCCAGGTCCTTTTCTCTGCAGTCTGGGCCCTGAGCATGCAACCTTCCCTGCTGCATACAAGTAAGCAGTGCTGAGCCTTGTTATTTCAGCATTTTGTTTCCTCTTATTTTAGAAGTACATTGGCAAACAAAATGTGCACCGGGATGCTTCAGTGCAGCGGAGTCAGTGTGTGCTCTGGCTCCAGGTGTATTTGTCATTCTCCAGAAGTGCAGAGCTTGTACTTAGGGATTCCCCAGACATGCCTGCTGCTTATTTCTATGTCCTAGAGAATAGTAAAGGTGTTTGTCACTCTGAAGTACTAGTGAAGCATCTAGGTTAGTAACCTGGGTCACCGAAGCTCAGCTTTCCTTTCTTCCATAAGTTCTGGTTTTTCCATCTCCGCTTCCCCTGAGCCCCAAGGAGGAAGGAGTTGGTCTGTTTCTCCCCTGCATTTCTGGCCTGCCCTACCCGAGGCTGTCTGCCATGGCTGACCTGAGGCTGAGTTACTCAGTGCTGGGGTAGTCGCAGCTTCTGGGCGCTACGAAGAGGGAGAGAAAGTGACTGGAGAGCAAGAGACTCGCGTTGTGTCTGCTGTGCCTCGGGCACAGCCTTTGTGGCCTTCCCAAAGGGGCCGAAGGCATGAAGGATCACCTCCCTGCCTAGGAAGAGACGATGCTGTCTTCTTTTCATGAATTACCCCGTGAGGGTAAATGCATCCTGAGGGCAGCAGGGTGGCCCTGGTGTGCCGAGGGGGCTCGGGTGGCGGCGGGCAGCAAGCCCGCTGCTGGTTTGACTGGCCGAGAGCCCCTTGCAGCTGGGAGTGATTCCCAGACCTCTGGATGGGTCCTGCTGGCCGTCCCAAATCCGTCAGTGCCGTGGCCGTGTTGGATGTACTGGCTGGGGGGGGGCTGGTTGCAGAGGTGTCCTGACGCGTTGCGCAGGATGGCTTGTCCCTCGGGCTCCTTAGGTGCCTTAGGAGAGCATCATAC